CCCCAAAACCCCAAAACCCCATGTGATTAAAACATACTCTGGTTAAAATAGAAAATTAATAAGGAATTAAATGCGAATATATTACTTAGTCGTGTCAATTACAGCAGTGGCATCATTCTTGATTCAATATTGGATTAATAGTAATGTCAAAGAGAGATACATTGATGAGTACTTTCATCTTAAGATGGTTGAGTAGTATCTAGTTGATAGGGACTTCTTAAAATGGGATCCTAAAATCACCACACCTCCAGGATTATACTATCTTGGCTATGTCTTGGGAGAAATATTGAGATTATTTGGCTTTATATTTGATACTAATAACCCTGAGTCAGTAAATGTCATTAGATATCTCAATAGCTTGATACTTGGTACTGTCAATCTCAACCTTCTGTATAAGATATTTTAAAGTAAATTCAGGAAATTGGAGGGAAAGAGAGATAAAGAAGTGATTTAATAGAATTAAGCAATGATTTATACTTTGATTGTATACCTAATGCCCTTTAACTTTACTTTTATGTTTTTGTTTTACACTGAGACTTTAGCTTTGACAGTAGTATTAGTACTTTACTATAGAATTATTTGTTTAAATTATTCAAATGGATTAGTAAATTTAACTATCGGGCTATTTTCATTGCTAGTAAGATAAACTAGCATCATATGGATTAATTATTTGGCATTACTCTGGGTGATTAAATAGAATCAAGAATTACAATCCCTACCTTAGTATATATTGTTTTGCATTAGGAATATAGTATCACTGATAAAATAATTCTGGTATATTGTGGTACTCGACTTACTATTTTTAGCCTTTGTAAAGTACAATAATGGATCCATAGTCCTTGGCCACTAAGAGCATCATTCAATGTCCATCCATCTTGCCTAAATCTGCTATCTGTACTTGATATTGCTAGTAGTGCCAGTGTACTCCATCAAAGAGTTATTTCTAAATAGAGATAGAATATTCCTCAACTTTAGGCAATATTACACCTACAGAATAAGTCTCATTTCAGTTTTAGTACTTATGTCTGCTATGATATATTTCTACTCTTTATAGCACCCATTCCTAGACTCTGATAATCGCCACTATGCTTAGAAGTTTTACAAATATATTATTAGGGACGATAGGAGGAAGTTGTTATTCATACCTATTTATGTATAAGGATTCTTTCATGTTTATGACATGCTTAAACAAAGGCTATTCAAACAGACTTAGATATATCTTTTCATTTATATGCTCTGCTCAGCAATTATATTGATACTAACTCCTTTATTTGAGTTGAGATACTTTGTGATACCTTGGGTGATGCTAGCCCTGGAGATAAATGGGATCAGACCTCCCTATTAAGATGGTAGAAGAGAATTATAGGTAAATAGAGAGCTTAAATGGCTATGGATAAACATTATAGGATTTATTATGATTAATGCGGGAGTACTGTATGTATTTGTGAAGAAGCCATTTATAAACATATATTTTGACAATGAGTTGAGTAGATTCTTTTGGTGATTATAAATTGATACTTTAGATTTACTGATTTTTTTATGTTTTTAGTTGTCGGGGTTTTGGGGTTTTGGGGTTTTGGGG